TTCATTGTTAACATTTTGATCATTGTCAAAGCCATGTTGAACTGAGGCACAGGAACAATGACAAACACTTGAAAATGGATCCTATATTGCACATAAGGACAGTATCAGTCCGGTGTTGTGTATTATTATGCCTTGCCACTGTTCTACATTCATCCAAATATACTTCAGGAGTCTCTATCATAGAAAAACCAAGAGATCACAGAAGGATTGCCCCTATGATTCTGTTATTTTTTTGGAGATGGGGTAAAATTTTTGAAAAAAATAATAAAAAATGTGAGGATCAATTATTTTCTTTGTAAAATCCCATTATAAAATTTATTTTGAAGCTCTCTTATACATCCTGTTGATTCTATTTTTAAGCTGCATGACTGAAAAAGCTAATGTTCATTGCCCTTCATCAGAACGGAGTCTGCTAAATTTGTCTTTACTCATCCACTTTGGCTATTTGTTTCCTCTTTAGCAGGAAGTCCCCCATCAGGGGGATTTTTCAAAAGTTTTCCAGCTATTCATAGTAGTGGGAAAGGACACACCCAGCCCGCCCAAACCTCTTAGATGCAAACCATTTTTAAAACTCACTCCTGGGAAGATAAACTTCACAAAAACATCATGGGAATCAGGCATTGTCTCTGACCCTGCCTATCATTCTCATGACCGATTCCTGTTTTGTCAATTCCCCACCCTTCTAAATTATCAAGAGGTGAACAAGGGCAAGAAATAGAGATTGTGATGGTGTATGTATGTGTGTAGGTATGTGTGATGGTGCACGTACGTTTGTATATTTCCAAAAAGGCCTGTCTATCTAAGTCAGGCTTCAACAAAGTCCCTTCTCATTGACCCCGATCTACATGGGTGAGCCTTGCAGGTGTTTTCCGGGAAATCACTGGAAGGTAATAGCAGTGCTCTGTATCAGTTCTGTGTGACTGGCATCAATACCACGCCACACCATTATAACACTATCATTCTACTTCAACTGCTATGGCAGCCTCCTGTGGAATTCTGGGATTTGTAGTTTAGGCAGGCTCAAGAGCTCTTTGGCTGAGAATTCTATATGTCCCTCCCTAACCTGCAAATGTGTGTCATCTGCACATCTTAGACTGTTGATATAACTTCCTCCAATTTTCATGCCTCCCTCCTCTGAGTCCAATCCTGTTTTTCTTATGATGTTCTCGGGATTCAAATTCAACAGATAGGGGGACAGAATGCTGTCCTTTTCCATTGAAAACCATTCAGTTTCTCTGTATTCTGTCCTTACAATAGCCTCTTGTCCTGAGTACAGATTACGCATCAAGACTATCAATGTTGTGGCACACTCATTTCTTTAAGGGATGCATAGTTTCTCATGATCTATACAATCAAATGATTTGCTATAGTCTATAAAGCAAAGGATGATCTTCTTTGGAAACTCTTTTTTGAAGCTCCTGATCAATTAGGTTTAATATTGCAAATCACTTTGTCTTTAAATTCTTCATTGATGTTATTCAGGTTGTATTTCGCCACGATGGCTGATTTTCTGTTCGTATTTAACTGTATTCTGATTTTTGCTATTAGTAGAATTTAAAGATATAGCCATGTTAGTCTGTAGAGTCAGTATGTAGAGAGATCTTGCAATACCTTTGAGACTAACCGAAAGAAAGAAGTTGGCAGCATAAGCTTTCATAGACTAAAGTCTACTTTCTCAGATGCATATGGTTGCTTTTGCTGTTAGTGGTCTGTGCCACAGTCTGCACCTGGCCTTGTTTTTGAGGAAAGAATGGAATTTCTCCATGTTATGCTTCCAATTATGTAGTCTATTTGATTTCTATATTGGCCATCAGATGATGTCCATGTATAGAGTCACTTCTTGGGTTGCCTGAAGAATGTGCTAGGAATGAAGAAATTATTGGTGTCACAAAACTCAATCAGTCTGTTTCTTGCTTTGTTTCTTGAACCCAGGCCTAATTTTCCTACAGTCTTTGATTCTGCTCCCTTTCCTTTCCAGATATGGAAAGGTTGTTGAAGAAGATCAAGACAAAAAGTGCAAAGGCATGTTTACAGCTGAACAACAAGAAATCAAACATTATGAGCACAGACAACCTACGTAATTCTAAAGTAGATAATGGAGAGATTGAAATAGTTCAGGATTTTCCATACCTGGGCCCAATCATCAGTCAGAGTAGAGACTGCAGTCAAGAAATCAGAAGACGACTAGAACTTAGAAGGGCAGCTATGAAGGAACTAGACAAGATCCTGAAGTGTAAAGCTATATAATTAAATACCAAAATTAGAATTGTCCGTGCCATCATATTTCCCATTTCTATGTAAGGTTACATAGTTACATTGACCCATGGATATGTAGACCGAGATTTGTCTGTGTGTGTGTGTGTGTCAATTTTAAACTACAATTTCTAGACTTATACATGAGTATATATAGTGTGTTTCATATACACCTTATACACATAACCTAAAGGCAATTTTATACACAATATTTGTAATAATTTTTGTTCATGAAACAAAGTTTGTGTACACTGAACCATCAGGAAACAAAGGTGTCACTATCTAAGCCAGGGACCGGCAACCTACGGCCCGGGAGCCGGTTAAGGCCCTGGCCCCTGGACTTACCAACCCAGGCCGAAGGTTGCCGCCGCGCGCCGCCGCCACTGCGTGTTTTTGGTGCTCTGCGGTCGCAGTCGCGGTGCGTTTGCGCATGCGCAGTACTCTTGTGCATGCGCAAACGCGTCGCGACCGCCATTTTGATTCCCAAAATGGCGGCCACAACATGCGCTGCAGCCGCTGCGGCCGTGCATGCTGCGGCGGCGGCGGCCACGTGCGCAGGGGTGTTGCGCGCAGCGGCGGAGGGTGCGCACGCTGCCATTCCCCCCCCCCCTCGGCCCAGCTGAGACCTGGGCTACAGGAGACCGGCCCAGGTCTTAAAAAGGTTGCCTTCCCCTGATCTAAGCCACCCATGGGGACAATTTTGGATTCTGAAATATTTCAGATTTCTGGATAAGGAATATTCAACCTGCATGAAATATGGCTAGAGTCCAATGATCCTTTTGATTTTCCTTCTGTGAATATTGCTGTCTAGCTACAAACTCAAATTTGAGCAAAATACATTTACGTGTGTGTGTGCGTGTGTGTACACACACACACATATATATGAATATTCTTTTTGGAACAGTATGCACAAATATGTGTGTGTGTGTGTGTGTGTGTGTGTGTATTTGTTATTAACTGCCCTCAAGTCGATATCAACTCATGACGACCCTATGGATGATACATCTCCAAAACCCTCTGTCCTCTACTACTCTGCTTAAATCCTGCAACCCCTTAATAAATCCCTGTGACCTTCTTAATAGAGTCCATCCATCTGGCATGGAACCCTCCTTTCTTCCTACTTCCCTCCACCTTCCCCAGCATTATTGTTTTTTTCCAAAGAGTCCTCCCTTCTCATGATGTGTCCAAAGTATGACAGTCTTTGTTTGGTCATCTGGGCTTCCAGGGAGGTTTCTGGCTTAATCTGCTCTAGGACCCACTTTTTGGATGTCCATGGGATCCTCAGCACTCTTTTCCAGCACCACATTCTCTCAAATGCATTGATTTTCTTCCTATCATCTTTCTTAATTGTCCAGCTCTCACATCCATCCATGGTAATAGGGAATACAATGGCTTGTATGATTATAACTTTTGAGTTGTATATCTTTGCATTTTAGGATCTTTTCTAGTTCTTTCATAGTCACCCTCCCCATTAGTCTTCTTCTGATTTCCTAACTGCGGTCCCCATTTCTATCAATGGTTGATCCCAGGCATGGGAATTCATTTACTATTTCTATTTCTTCATTGTCTAGGTTGAACTTGTGAAGGTCCTCCTTGGTGGTCATTATTTTTGTTTTCTTTATGTTCAACATTAAGCCTGCCTTTGCACTTTCTTCTTTGATCTTTCTTAGTAGGTGTTCCAGGTCTGTGAGGTATACACACACACACACACACACATTAATGTGGAAAAAGGCAATAACAGTTTATGAATGAGCACATGCAAATTTAATCCCTGGTCTATTCATAATTTAAATAGTTCAGGTTTCAGTAGCATGGACTCCTGATAATAGTACCTTGCATCCTTAACTTGAGCAGTGCACAGTATATCACTGTCTGCTGCACCAATGTGCACCACTGCTTCTTTCTGCTTCTTTTTTGTCTATTTGGGGACATAAGAGGAATGTTGCTTTCTACTCTGCCCCTGCCTGTTTCTAATATTAGAATGGAGGGAGCAGCTCACTTCCTGGAGGCATCGGCACAGTTTTGTTCTGCAGAATGTCTTCACTTTTTCTCGCTCTCCTTCTCTTTCCACCCCCAGCAGTATCAATGAACATGTGGAAGCAATTGTGATAAACAGCTTTCAATTAAATGCAAAGTATCACTTAGACATGGAGCAGTTAAGCTTTCCATTTTATGGGGCATAAATATATGGAAGGAAAAAAAGGAATGTTACATGGTTTCCTTTAGCAAGAAAGCAGCAAGAACTGCTTTCTTTTGATCAGAGAACAGAAGGTAATCCATGTTCTTTTCAAGTTTCCCACCGCTCCGGATAGCTCAGGATTACATGCAATGGAGCTAGAGAACTAAAATGATGCTAATACCTTTTCCTGTGCATCTGGTGTGGCTTGGGATCATTCACAGAAAGCTTTATCCAGTCTGTTTTCTTCCAATTCTTCTGCTTCAATTTTTCCTTTGTTAAGGACTACATTAGTGTTCCCCATCAAATCTGAAAGGCCAAAATATTGGTGATAGTAGCAGACTTGTCTTTTTGCCAGTGGGTTGGCATCAGTATCTGGCACACTGTGCCTTGGTCAGGTCTACCAAATTGGTTGCTGTTGTGTGCCTTCAAGTCATTTCCGACTCATGGTGACCCTAAGGCAAAACTATCATGGGGTTTTCTTGGCAGGATTTGTTCAGACAAGGTTTGCCATTGCCTTCCCCTGAGGCTGAGAGCATGTGACTTGCCCAAGGTCACCCTGTGGGTTTCATGGCCAAGCAGGGAATCAAACCCTGGTCTCTAGAGCCACCGTTCAACACTCAAACCACAATGCCACACTGGCTCTCCACCAGGGTTGGTAGCTAACCTGAAACCCCTACAGCAGATAACACAACCTGGGATTAAATATTACACAATGCCTTTGACATAGGAGAATATCACACAGGAGGCTTACTGTCAGTAAAGTGTCTTTAAAGTGTCTGAAATAGTCCAAATCACGCGACTGGGGTACACACCCCTGCGCGTTTCTCATATCAGTAAAGTGTCATGATGTGTCCCCACTCAATTATCCCATCAGAGCCCCCATTTGGCAATAACAGAAGATCATCAACATTGCCCTTGCCTTCCTTTGAGGCTGTGAAAGTGTGTGACTTGCCCAAGATCACCTACTGGGTTTCCATAGCCAAGCAGGGATTCAAACCCTGATCTCCAGAGTCATAAACCACTGACTGTACCATGCTCTGTGTGTGTGTGTTGTGTGCCTTCAAGTCATTTCTATATGTTTATAGAATATATAGAATATACCATGCTACTATATGTTTATTTATTGTTCTGTTTTTATTGCTACTATATGTTTGTTTATTTATTGTTCTGTTTTTATTATTGCTGTTCCCTGCCTCGATTGCGATGCAGAGAGGCGGGTTATAAATAAAATTTATTATTATTATTATTATTATTATTATTATTATTATTATTATTATTTCCAACTTATGGTGACCCTATAATTGGGTTTTCTTGGCAAGATTTGTTCAGAGGAGGCTTGCCATTAATTTCCCCAGAGGCTGAGAGCATGCGACTTGCCCAAGGTCACCCAGTGGTTTTCATGGCTGAGCTAAGAATTGAACCCTGATCTCCAGAGTCATAGTGCAACACTCAAACTACTACTTTCAAATATTCTAATACAGATAGACATTTCTCACAACTTTGATCCCCCCCCTCCGCCCCCGGAACATGCAAACTAGGAATGCAAGCTATATTCTGGATGTTTTTGTCTATATTCACTAGAAGTATAGCCTGAGTTTGGAAGTTAATGAGTTACAAGTAATGGCGCTAGTCTCCATCTTTAAACTGGTGAGAACCCAGTGCAAAGGTGTGGAGCTAGGCTCCACTTTTATTTGGTATAGCAAATGATTAGACATCTTGAGGCTAGAACAATCTCAACCGACAAGTAATGTAGTAAACTCTAATGGTCTTTTTCCTCCCCTCCCCTTCTTTTCCTAATGAGAATACAGTTTAGTTATAGTACAAAAGCAATCTGACAAGCAGGAACGAAAAGCACTTTACTGGTTCAACATTTAATGTTTTTCTAGTCACCTTTTATGAATTGCAGGCATTTTTAGCAGCCTCTTGAGATTATTGTTTCCTCCATGTTTTGGGCCATTAGGGTTGCCAGGTCAGGACTACCCCAGGCCAAAACCTGAGACCACAAATAATAATAATTAATAATAATTAATAATAATAATAATGTATTTATACCCTGCCTTCAGCCAAAAGGCTATCAGAACGGCTTACAAATGGTTAATTAGACATTTCCCTGCCCTCAAAAAGATCTAAATAATATATATATATATATATATATATATATATATATATACGCATGCAAAAGTGGAATGAAAGGAAACATAAAAGTAGAAAGCCGCTTTAAAGTTACTTTTAAAGCACTGTAATGTAATGAGCCATGGCGATGAATGAAGATTTTAAAACACTATCGTGATTAACAGGAATTTATTACTTTGCAAAGAAAACACCTTTCCAAGCTCTATCCTGAGCATGGGAAAGAGCAGCCTTTGTGTAGCCGGGTTTTTTCGGAACCAAGCATCTTTGATAGGAGCAGGATGCAGAGCAGACTGCAGCCCAGCCCTGCGTCTGTTGAGGAAGTGAGCTCCACCCCAGCGAAAATGGGCAAAAACATAATAGCTAGTAAACAGATCACTAAGCCGGATTTTTATATACTGTCCAACTGTCCTGATTGGTCCTGGACAGTTCCTATTAATCTTCTGTTACCCCATTTTTTCCCCACTGCTTTTAAAATGTCCTAGTTTCTCTCTCCTCCTTCTACTTTCCCCCATTGTCCTTAGCTTCTTCCATGGTTCAAAGTGAGTTCAGAATGCAAAAATAGTTTGCACTCAATGAACAGGGAGTGAAAGGAGAGGAAAGAGAAGAATCTTGCCTTTCCCAGCAGGCTCAGGCAAAAGCAAACTGCCGTAGTCATCTTGACCAAAATCTGATCTATCATGTGCCACAGATTCAATTGGAGGGTATTTTAAGAGCCAGCGTGGCGTAGCGGTTTGAGTGTTAACTACAATTTTGGAGAGCAGAGTTCGATTCCCAGCTTGGCCATGAAACCCACTGGGTGACCTTCAACAAGTCACACACTCTCAGCCTTAGGCAATGGCAAACCTCTGCTGAACAACCCTGCTAACCAAAACCCATGATAGATCCACCTTAGGTCACCGTAAGTTGGAAACGACTTGACGGCACAAACAACAGCAGCAGCAGCAACAAAAGTTTGGTTTTCAGCAATTAATTCCTGAATTCAGGGCTAGGCCCTCATCTAGATGTAGCAGAATAATCCTTGCGCTCCTACCTCATTCCAAGAAAGGAACTATTTGGGGGTTTCAACAGTAAAAGACACACAGTACCCATTCCAAAGGACAAGATTAGCCAGTCACAAAAGCTTTGTCTACATTCTCAAATAAATTTAGGCCATTGTGCCCAGTTTCTGATCAGAGGTGTCCTTCTGACCTTAGTCTGGAAAAGGTTCATATTTGGACCAGTATGTGTGACGGCATTTCAGGCTTTTCCTAAAGCTGAAGTTAAATAGCAAGGTGAGCAGGAACCAGAGTAAGGACTATGCCACTTGGAAAGGGAAGGTTCATACTAGAGATGGAGAAACCTTTTACAATCCAGATACTTTGGACTGCAACTTCACAATCTTATGCTGGTTGAGGCTTCTGAGAATTGAAGTCCATAGTATCTGCACTCCAGAGGGCCCTCATAGTTTAAATAATCATAAGGATTTTGGGTGGTGGGCTCTTCCTCTCAACAGCTCATTGACTCAAAGGTCAGAAACATATTGATTGGGAAATGTTTTAGTTATGGATTCCCCCAGGGAACACTGGTTTAGACTAAATGATGTACAAGATGTGCCATCCTTCATCTTTAAGCCTAAGAAGGAACCCTGTTGAACTGAATCACACTCAGAATCATAGAACTCAACCAGATTTGCCCTCAGGGTGAAATCCTTAGAAGAGAATCTAGTGGAGCCTCTTGTTGTTGTTGTTGTGTGCTTTCACATTATTTCCAACTTAAGGAAACCCTAAGGTCACAGTTTTCTTGACAAGACTTGTTCCGAGGGGGCTTGCTGTTGTCTCCCTGAGGCTGAGAGAGTGTCACTTGCCCAAGGTTTCCATGGCTGAGTGGAGATTTGAACAATGGTCTCCAGAGTCCTGTTCCAACACCAAAACCACTACACTACATTGCCGCTTACTAACTTACTTCTATGTAAACATGCAACAAATGATACCCAATGTGAAATGTGTATAGGGTTTCAGCTTTAAGGGACTCTTTGCTCCATCCTTCTGCTCACATGTTGAACTGTTTGCCTGGCTGCCTGTTTATTTCCAAACTGGTCAACCCCAGCTCTGATTGTATAGGAAGCATCTGCACAGGGAACCTAATGCAAACCAGCAGGATGCTTTGTTGCACTGCATGCATTCTCTCACTATGATGTCACCCTTATTGCTGACTTGGGGCAGACACTTTGCAATGGCTTTGTTTGACCACCTCTGCTTCTAATCCACTTTGATGGTCTAGGGGCCATCTGAACATCGTCAGCCAGTTATGACATCCCACATACAGACACGCTCACATTGAATCAACTTGGCTCTCTTTCATACGACTTCAAGAATAATTTAACCTTCCCATCAACATACATACACACACCAAGAAAGAACAGGCTTGTAGTAAAACTGATGACACACCGTAAAGTGGAGCACAAATATGGATGGCGGCCAAAGTTTTCAAAATGCAACTGCACTAGGAATATCAGAGCTCAGGGCTTAGCCCTGAGCCTGCAGTTTTCAGGGGTCATCTCCTGGTGGGAAGCAAGGGTGCAAATTCTTCAATTTTGGTGAACTCAGCTCTGGGCAAGATCTGCCCAGATCTGCCAATCTCCAGCTAAGTTAGTAGAACAGCAGCTTGCAAAGACTCACCAAGTGATCTAGATATTTACAGTACTTAGTTTCCTCAACACTCCCCCCCCCCCCATTATTTTGGCACCAGAGCTCACCCTCTGCTCTGCATCCACCTTCTGGCTAAAAACGTGTGTGTGTGTGTGTGTGTTATGTATGTGTGTTTGTGTACATGTCCATTCAAGTCGCCTGTCGACTTATGGTGACCCCGTTAACTTTTCATAGGGCTTTCTTAGGCAAGGAATTCTCCAAGGTGGTTTTGCTTGTTCCCTTTTCAGCTAAATTAAATGGCCCTTACTTATCTCATTTTCTTAAGGGAGAAAGAAGACTCCTCTCATTTTACCTTCATCTGGAAACAGCTTCTGTAGGTAAGATTTCTATCTCAGTTTCCAAACAGGAAAATATGTTCTCTCTGTGAGTGTGTGTTTGAATGGCAAGATGGGAGCAACTGTGGTTAGTACTTAACCCATAAAGCTCAATGACATCACTAGGGGCAGCCTTTGGGGAGTCTAACACACCTCCTCCATTCTCACCGCGATCATGATAATGAAGGGAACAACAAACATACCAGTTTCAGAGCACTCCCTACTACACTTCCCCCCATGGGGTGGTGGTTTTTTAAATGTAATTCCAGAGTTATGTGAATGCATAATTGAAAAGAAATAAAAAAAAGAAAGTAAAAGCAACTCCCCCCCCCAAAAAAAAAGACAGTTCTGGAATAGCAAAGGGAAAACGGAGCGGAGAGTGGGTGAGATACTGATACCGTGTGACTTCACAATCCCAGAACTGCCACGGAAGTAACTTGCCGCACGTGAGACCTAGGACCTTATCACACGGGGCCCAATCCAGACAGAATCCAAACGA